CCCACCCCCTCCCCAAAATAGAGGAAGAAAATTACCGATTAGAAGACTTTGTACCGAAAGACAGACTTGTTTGTGGCTCAAACATAGCTCGAACGACGGCATTAACATTTGGCTCACAACACTTGATTTTTGCCTGGCATTCGCCTCGGCTTTGCTCTGCTTGAAGAAAGTAACAATTGAGCCAGGCTCAGCGGTTAAGCTGCCTGAAGCCGTGCCGGTTATAGCTCCAAACAGGGACGATAATGGCTCCTGCAAAGCGTTGGGTAGGCCAACCCGCACAGCAGCGGTGTGTAACAGACAGCGACCCTGAGCGCAAGGCAGGGGCTTCTGGCCAGGCCATCCAGCGTGGAAGGGGGGGGGGGGTATATTTTCGGTTCTCACTGGATAAAGCGTCTACCCGTGCCTACTGCACGCCATTTTCGTACTGCCGGATGAAAGACCTTCTTGACCACACTCCCCTCGCTCAAAGAGGTCCTGGCTAGCCCGTCTTTGAAAAAGCCCGCGCTCTGAGTCAGGGACCTTCAACTGTTTTTTTTGTTTACAACCAAGCTGACTGGACGTTAAGTGTCAGACGCCCCGTAACTTTCTTTTCGAACTCATTTAAAAATTTTAAGAAGTCACCGTGTATTGAACCTATTAAAATATGGACGACTTCAATGCCAAGAAATCCAGGTGGGTCACAAGCCTTTTAGGTGCTGCAATTGTAAGATTGCGTCCACTGAATGGTCAAGTTAACCTCCAAAGTGTTTCATATAGTACATTAATATTTCCTAGTGAGATATTTCCTTTGTATTGTCGTATTTAAAAAATAAAAGCACCAGCTTTTATAAATTTTTCCCATTTATGTTCATAATAATAACAACCGTTTAATTTTTCAGAGCTAGCAAGATGCGGCAAGATAAGTATCGAGATCGTCCTAAAAAGCCAGTAGACAGTGGTTCCAAGGGAGGTAAGGGAGATTCAAAGGAAGTTAAACAAGACAAAACTTTTCAGCAAACAGATGTCAGTGAAGTACAAACAACTAAAAATATTGGTGAGCTGTATTACTTTTCATTATTCTTTCCTTGATTCAACCATGCTAAAGCCGTGCTTGATGACAATTTATTTTTCTGGTAGCTCTTGCTGAAGAGAATGTGCCCTCATTTTCTAAACGTAAGCTGGTTAGTAATTGGGACAGGTATGAGGAACCTGTGCATGTTGGTCGATTTGAAGAGGATGTTGATGCCATTGGTGCTCATTTTGAAGAACTACTGTCAGTGCCAATTTCTGGTGAGACTTTGTATGACTTAGATATTAAATGCTATCCTTTCTACTTTTTTATTTTTAAATCAGTAACTAACATGCATTTTTCAGGTGGTCATCTAAAGATGAAGCATGAGCATGAATGGGAGAAAGAAAAGTCTGAACTTCAAATGCCATGGTTTCAACTTAACATTCAAGGAGTTGAACAAAATCTGTCAACAATATCTTTTTGTAAACGGCAGAATCTACCTCAAAATATATTTTCTGTAAGTTCAGCTTTACATTTTCTAAAAATATATCACTGTTCTGAGAGTTGCTTTTTGTAACAACTGTATTCTAACAGGAAAACCAGCTTCAACGAATGGTAGTAAGAGCAAAACGCAATGCCACTTCACTGGCTGAAGTGAATGCCAGCATTTTAAAGGTGCAAAATCTGCATGTGGGGAACAGTGTTAGTAATCAAGTAGACATCAAAGATAAATCTATTCTAAAAGATCCATCTGTCATTGACATTAAACGCCCCCTTCATCATATGGAATTTCCGGAAGTTAAAGAGAGTGACAATTTGGAAAATCAGGACTTAGATGATATTCTGGCTTTACATGAGAGCTCTTCTAATTCAAGTTTAATGACAACAATCAAACCTACAGTAGAGGTTCCCAGCAAAGGTAGGCATTTTTCTGTAGATGCAATGTCTTAAACTTCTACAACTTCTTCAATCAAGTACAAAATTTGTTGACTCATAAAAAAATGATATCATTATTTGTTTTGCTTTTCTTTTTCAGAAGAAGCTGATTCATCAAATATCATAAAGGAAATACCAACTTTGGCGCCATCTGATACATCTGTCAACACTACAAACACAACTCAACCTACAGTCTCATTAGACGATTGGTTGGATTCAATTCTTGATGATTAAAATCAATTTCATCAATCCATGTTCTTACTGTATACTCAAAGGTATTTTGTTATGATTCAAATATAAAAGTTTATTTTTCAAATCTGACGAGGGAAAGTTTATGAGAGGAGAGAGAACTTGAGTAAGTGATAAAGTGAATTATTTTATTTCATGCTATGTATCGATAATTCAGTATATTACAAGACTTAAAGCATAAATAATCTAAATATTAATGTGGATGTGCACTTAAACTAACATAGAAAATATCACAACTTGAGCTTATTTGTACCATTCTTTATGCCATTAAATATCATTTTGGCAAACTAATATTTCATACAAAGCTCTCAACTATAATCTGAATGTATTGAGATTGAGAAGTACAAACTATGTTTTCACCGTGCCTTCTGCAGGAGATGAATGTAGAAGGCTGGGTCCTCCACTTCCTCCATGTGTTTGAAGTCTGCAAATATTACGTGTTCGCTGGCGTATGGGATGATGCGGTCCAGCATCTGGGTGAAGACCTTCAGGCGGTGGGGGTAGTAGCACAAACGAAACTCACTGTAAGGAGAAGTATCATGTAAGTTTGCTCCACACAAGTACCCAGCATATTCTTCTAAAATTGTGCATGCAGAAAATCAACCATCTCGTTGACATTGCATCAGTAGAAATATTTCTACCCACATTTGGAGAGAATTTTGCAAGTCAGCGGAGTCGTGGGTGATTTATTTTACTGAGTTTGAAGGGGTTGACCTCACCTGACGGGCTCTTCGATGCGCCTGGACTCCTTGTCGTTGAGGCCGGACACGTCGATGAGGTAGTCCATGGTGACGATGGCGGGCTGATTGCCCACGTACAGGATGGACGTGCGGATGTCGGTCGTGTGCTTGCAGTTGTAGTAGATGGAGCGCGCGGGCGTCGACCCGTTGTCCAGGATGTAGTCGAAGTTGCGGTGGTCGATGAGCAGCAGGCCGCCGGGCTTCACGCACTGCTCGAAGTTGGACAGCGCCTTCCTGGAGAGCAAGGGAGAGGGTGAGCGTCAATGAGCGTCCTACCGAAGTGGACCATATAAGGGGCATTCACTAAATACGTCAATTTCAGATGAGGGGTACTTTTTTCAGGCCCTCTTTTCGAGTTCAGGGTTGAAAGTGGAGGCTTTTTAGACGCCATGATAAAGTTACCCAGGATACCAGGATAAAAAAACACCCACGGGGATACAATTATCATGGCCTCCCAAACACTTCCTTTTGCAACGCTGAGTTCGAATATGGTGCCGTGATGAAAGCACCCCACTCGTCGAAAATGACGTAATTTGTGCACGATCCCATGCGAACAATTTGCTTGGCTCAGGGGTGAAAACTCACTTTTGGTCTCGCTGGTCGCCCGTCGTGTCCATCATGTGGGCGAACGAGTTGCCGAGGCAGATGACGGCGTCGAAGCCGTCGCCGATGTGCTCGCTGATGTCGTCCGTCAGGGTGAGCCAGTTGGCCTCCTCGATCACTGTGGTCCAGAGAGAGACACGTTAGGGGGTCGTTCCAATCCAATACTACGTGACTTTTAGGGGGTACAAATATCATGGGGTCTCTATAGACTCCAATGTCGATCTTAATCCTTTTTGGCCCCCGTCATATCCACGCCCCCCCCCCCCCATAAAAGTAAGTTAGTATCCAGACACTCACCCCAGTTGTCGAAGGCCGGGTCCCGCCGCCGCTCCCAGCGCGTCTTGAACGCCTGCTTGAGCATCTTGTCGGAGGCGTCCACGGACACGACCTCGAAGCCCTCCTCGAGCAGCATGACGGAGTCGATGCCCGTGCCGGCGGCTACGTCCAGGATGCGGCGGCAGCCCCGGCGGCGCAGCAAGCCGACGAGGAAGTCCTTGTAGTGGCGCGTGCGGGACTTCTTGTCGCCGATGAACACCTCCCACACCTTGGCGGCGCGCCCGTCGGCGTACTGGTCCCGGACGCCCTCGGCGGGCAGCCCCAGGGAGCGGGTGCGGAACACGCCGTCGGCCATCTGCGGAGGGAGGAGGTAAAAGAGCCAGTTAGTTTCAACTCATCCAGTTTCCTTCCCCAAGCGCCCGCCCGCCACTCGCTGGGAAGGCCAGCCCGCCCGGCAGCTGTGTGCAGAGTTGGAAACCTTGGAAAGTTTTCGGAAAATTTAAGAAAAAACGTCCGGAAATCCAAAAATTTTCGAGAAAAGTTTTTCGTTTATTTTCCGGAAATTTTCGTGAATTTTTCGGAAATTTCCCGGGAAATTTTTTGAAATTTCCAACTTAAGAAGTGTGCGGACGGCGGCAGGCCGCCCGGAGCGCTCACGTGAGGAATGTTTATTGCGATAGGATCCGCGCTATCGCCGCCGCGGTGAGATCCTCCTCGCGCTTTGTTTGTCGAGGTTTGCAGAAACCTTAGAGGATGGCGGTCGAGTCGGGGGGGTCGGGATGGCAACGCGGTGCACCGCCCCGCACTCGGCTGTGCAGCTCCCCCGCGCGTGCTGGCAGCTCTGATTACCGCAGATAGCGTTATGGGCTGATCGGTCTCTCCCCCCCCCCTCTCTCTCTCTCTCTCTCTCTCTCTCTCTCTCTCTCTCTCTCTCTATCTCTATCTCTATCTCTGTCTCTATCTCTCTTTCCCTCATCATTCACTACTGACCCATGGCCATGATTAAAAGGAAATCGGCGTCACCTTAAGCACTACCCTTTCGCGGACCT